GCTGAAACAGAACACACACAGAACCAACAGAACTGGGTCAGAACACACACACAACACACACACAACACACACACACACAGAACCAACAGAACTGGGTCAGAACACACACACAACACACACACAACACACACACACAGAACCAACAGAACTGGGTCAGAACACACACACAACACACACACAACACACACACAACACACACACACAGAACCAACAGAACTGGGTCAGAACACACACACAACACACACACAACACACACACAACACACACACACAGAACCAACAGAACTGAGTCAGAACTAGAGCCCGACCGATATGGATTTTGCTGTGGCCGATATGAAACCAATATAATGGAAGTTGGAGCTGCCGATATAATCACCGATATATTTAGTGATGTAAAAATTCACTGTAAATGTTGAATTGTTTAAAAAACTTAGGTTTGGCTCTGGTGGATTTTAAATTGGGTTTATTTAGGCAACATTTATTGTTATTCTGCCTCTTTACATCATATTTACAGACAGTAGGACTAATGGCATTTTTGCATCACATTCTAGACACTAGTGATGGGGATTCCAGTTATTTATTTTTTTTAACTTAGTTTTTATTAAGTTTAAGATATCACAGCTTGTGCATTATGGTCAGTTACAAAGCCGGTTACTTATATGTTAAAATAGACAATGCACATGTATCAGTATTAGTATATAGAAAAAGAACAAAAACAATAACAATGACTTAGGAGGTTATACATTTACAATAATAATAATAATAATAATAACAGATTAAAAAGCAAAACAAAACCATAATAATAATCATCATAAAAATAAGTAAATAAATGAATGTAAAATAAAATAATTAAATAAAAATAAGACATGCTAAACTTGTTGGAATAAAAGAGCAAACATGGGACTCCATCTCTTAATGAAGAGCTGGGATTCCAGTTCTTTTTAGAGAACCGGCTCTTTTGGCTCGGCTCACTAAAAGCTGCTGGTTCTTTTGGCTCCCAAGTGGCTCTTCAGATTGTTTTGTTGCAAGCAGGACTAAAGCACGTCTAAAGCAGGACTGAATCAGGACTGAACCAGGTCTAAACCAGGACTGAAAAAGGACTAAACCGGGACTTATTTATTTTATGCTAAACTACAGTCAAATATGCTCGTTTTTGTATTTTTATTTATTTTTAATCCTACGTACATGCAAATTTCTCAAAGTTTCATTTTTAGCCGCTGCCGCTGTCAAACTACCACGAGTCTGCACGCGGCGTGAAGAGAAAAAAAGTGAGAGAAAGAGAAAACACGGCTCCCAATAAGGATCAGTCTCCCGTCGTTCGCTTCAAAGAGCCGGTTCTAAGAGTCATTTCGTTCGCGACGGACCCATAACTAGTAAAGAAAGTAGCGCTATTAGCCTTTAGCCGTAAATACATGCGCGCCGCGGTAATTAATCATATGCGCAAATGTCATAATTCACACGTCTATTCACAGCTCATTTACATATCAGTGCAGGTCCAGTAGCAAATATACGAACAATATAATCACTTTAGAACAGACCAATAGAAAACAGTGTGTTTATGTGCGGAGCTACAGCAGCTAACCCATAACAAATGACCAAAACTAGCTTCAGAGTCGACATATTTCCAACACTCACCGCTCACACAGGCTCCTCCCACATCACAAATCTGCACTAATAAATGTCCTTTTAATCCAGACGCAAACCGATTGTCCGTAAAAAGAAAATAATCTCAGTGTTGTGCACCGCTCCGGGTGTAAACAAACACACGTGAGTGACGCGACTCTGTGGTGTGTTCAGGGACAGTACGACACACACAGACAAATGACTCCGTAGATAAATACTGATGTGGAGCCACATATGAGGACATTTATCTGTCTGTAAATTGGATTAAATGAACAGAATGTAGAGAGTCTAAGCTTTATAACGAGGTGTAACATGCCCACGTGAAATATCGGCCCATATCAGCAAGCATATCGGCCGATAATATCGGCCAACCAATATATCGGTCGGGCTCTAGTCAGAACACACACAACACACAGAACAGGGTCAGAACCAAAGGACACACGGGGAGAACACAGACTCACCCAGGATGATGACAGACGTGGTTCCGTCTCCCACCTCCTCGTCCTGGGTTCTGCTGATCTCCATCATGGACTTGGCGGCCGGATGCTGCACCTGGATCTGCTCACAGATAACACGGGTCACCACCAGAACCAACAGAACCCACTCGAGAGAACCAACAGAACCCACTCGAGAGAACCAAGAACCACAGAACTGAGAACCACAGAACCCGCCGACAGAACATGAGGGGTTGTTGATGTTCTCCAGACTCTGGGCTCAGTGTTTGCTGTGTGACTATTTCCTCTGGTGTTTTCATGTTGCTGTGGTGGAGTCAGGTCTGCGGAGGGGGTCAGGTCTGCGGTGGAGTCAGGTCTGCGGTGGAGTCAGGTCTGCGGTGGGGTCAGGTCTGCGGTGGGGGTCAGGTCTGCGGTGGGGTCAGGTCTGCGGTGGGGGTCAGGTCTGCGGTGGAGTCAGTCTGCGGTGGGGGTCGGTCTGCGGTGGGAGTCAGGTCTGCGGTGGGAGTCAGGTCTGCGGAGTCAGGTCTGCGGTGGAGTCAGGTCTGCGGTGGGGGTCAGGTCTGCGGTGGGAGTCAGGTCTGCGGTGGGGGCCGGTCTGCGGTGGGGTCAGGTCTGTGGTTTGGCGAGGCTCGTTCTTTGTTCTGGATTCTGAGTCTTTTAATGTTTCTAGTTTTTCTTGTTTTCATTGAAATGTTTCTGTGTTTTGTTCTTGTGTCTGTGGATTAAACAACTGTCAGTTTTTCCTGAGAAGCTCAGAGGTCGGATCTGGTCTGGGTCTGGGTCTGGGTCTGGGTCTGGATCTGGGTCTGGATCTGGGTCTGGACTCGGATGGAGACTCTGGGAAAAGCAGGAGCCACAGGAGGCACCAGTCGTAAAAACTGTTGTGTCCTTAGGCAAGACACTTCACCCACATTGCCCAGTATGAAAGTGGTGTGTATGTGTGTGTGTGTGTATCTGACCTCTCTGAGGATGATGTGTGTGTGTGTGTCATGTGTATGTGACATGTGTATGTGAGATGTGTATGTGTGTGTGACCTCTCTGAGGATTGTGTGTGTGTGTGTGTGTGTGTGTGTGTCATGTGTATGTGACATGTGTATGTGTGTGTGACCTCTCTGAGGATGGTGTGTGTGTGTGTGTGTGTGTCATGTGTATGTGACATGTGTATGTGTGTGTGACCTCTCTGAGGATGGTGTGTGTGTCATGTGTATGTGACATGTGTGTGTGACATGTGTGTGTGACATGTGTGTGTGACATGTGTATGTGACATGTGTATGTGACATGTGTATGTGTGTGTGACCTCTCTGAGGATGGCGTGTGTGTGTATGTGACGTGTGTATGTGACGTGTGTATGTGTGTCTGACCTCTTTGAGGAGAGTGTGTGTGTGTGTGTGTGTGTGTGTGTGTATGTGACGTGTGTATATGACATGTGTATGTGACGTGTGTATCTGACCTCTCTGAGGATGGCGTGTGTGTGTGTATGTGACGTGTGTATGTGTGTCTGACCTCTCTGAGGAGAGTGTGTATGTGACATGTGTGTATCTGACCTCTCTGAGGATGGTGTGTGTGTGTGTGTGTGTATGTGACGTGTGTATGTGACCTCTCCGAGGATGGCGTGTGTGTGTGTATGTGACATGTGTATGTGACGTGTGTATGTGTGTATCTGACCTCTCTGAGGATGGCGTGTGTGTGTATGGGACATGTGTATGTGACGTGTGTATGTGTGTATGTGACCTCTCTGAGGATGTGTGTGTGTGTGTGTGTATGTGACGTGTGTATGTGACCTCTCTGAGGATGGTGTGTGTGTATGTGACATGTGTATGTGACATGTGTGTATGTGACCTCTCTGAGGATGGCGTGTGTGTGTGTATGGGACATGTGTATGTGACGTGTGTATGTGACCTCTCTGAGGATGGCGTGTGTGCGTGTATGGGACATGTGTATGTGACGTGTGTATGTGACCTCTCTGAGGATGGCGTGTGTGTATGGGACATGTGTATGTGACGTGTGTATGTGACCTCTCTGAGGATGGCGTGTGTATGTGTGTGTATGGGACATGTGTATGTGACGTGTGTATGTGACCTCTCTGAGGATGGCGTGTGTGTGTGTGTATGGGACATGTGTATGTGACGTGTGTATGTGACCTCTCTGAGGATGGCGTGTGTGTGTGTATGGGACATGTGTATGTGACGTGTGTATGTGACCTCTCTGAGGATGGCGTGTGTGTGTGTATGGGACATGTGTATGTGACATGTGTATGTGACCTCTCTGAGGATGGCGTTCCCGTCGTTGGTCATGACGATTCCTCCAGTCGGGTCGAGCAGCATCTGGACACGAGAACCTCAGGTCAGTGACAAAGAACTTTTACCTCCAAACCAAACGGAGCTGAAGTCCACGTCTCCAGACTGAGCTCCTGTCAAACCTCAAACTAAACACTCAAAAACTCTGACTCAGAACATCGAGAACAGATCCAAAACCTGGTCCAGATCCACCTCAGACTCAAACTGTCTCCAGCTCGTCTCGTCGTCTCGTCGTCCTCACAGTGTCACATGTGCAGAGTTTAACGAGGCTCAACATGTGACTTCAAGCATCAAGTCCACAAATGATCCACATGATTCTAGTGAAGGTGAAGTGTGTGGAGTTTAAAAACACAGTGGAGCACTTCCTGTATCACCACATGATGACATCACGAGGTGGACAGAGTGTTTGACTGTGTTTAATTCTGATCAGAGTCTGATCTCTGCACTAAACTGTTCAGATTCACACAAACGTCGTTTAAACAACAAATATTCATTTAAATAAAACAGATGATGTCACCTTCATCATGGCCCGAGGGCCGAGGCAGGTCCGGATCACATCTGCGATGGTCTGTAACACAAACACACATTTACACACTATTACTACACACTATTACACACTATTACTACACATTATTACAACATACTATTACTACACACTATTACTACACACAATTACACACACTATTACACACACTATTACACACACTATTACTACACACTATTACTACACACTATTACTACACACTATTACACACACTATTACACACACTATTACACACACATTACTACACACACTATTACACACACTATTACACACACTATTACACACACTATTACTACACACTATTACTACACACAATTACACACACTATTACACACACTATTACACACACTATTACACACACTATTACTACACACTATTACTACACACTATTACACACTATTACACACACTATTACTACACACTATTACTACACACTATTACACACACTGTTACTACACACTATTACACAGTTACTACACACTATTACTACACACTATTACTACACACTATTACTACACACTTACACACACTATTACACACTATTACACACACTGTTACTACACACTATTACTACACACTATTACACACACTATTACACACACTGTTACTACACACTATTACTACACACTATTACACACACTATTACTACACACTATTACACACACTATTACACACACTATTACACACACTATTACACACACTATTACACACACTATTACTACACACTATTACAACACACTATTACACACACTATTACTACACACTATTACACACACTATTACACACTATTACACACACTGTTACTACACACTATTACTACACACTATTACATGCACTATTACACACTATTACACACACTATTACTACACACTATTACACACACTATTACTACACACTATTACACACACTGTTACTACACACTATTACTACACACTATTACACACACTATTACTACACACTATTACACACTATTACTACACACTATTACACACACTATTACAACACACTAGTACACACTATTACTACACACTATTATTACACACTATTACTACACACTATTACAACACACTATTACACACACTATTACTACACACTATTACACACACTATTACAACACACTAGTACACACTATTACTACACACTATTATTACACACTATTATTACACACTATTACTACACACTATTACTACACACTATTACACACACTATTACACACCATTCTACACACTATTACTACACACTATTACACACAACCAGGAATAAAGCTGGTCTGGACCTGGTCTGGACCTGGTCTGGACCTGGTCTGGACCTGGACTCACCTTGGCAGCGTTGATGTTGCCGGTCTGGACTTTTCGCCCAGATTCTCTCTTCACGTTCTGATCTGAAACAAAAACACAAGTTTAAACCAAAAGAAAAAGACCAGGACAAGACGACGGAAACACACAAACTGAGTGTGTGTCTCAGTGATATATGTGTGTGTGTGTCAGTGATATGTGTGTGTGTGTGTGTGTGATGTGTGTGTCAGTGATATATGTGTGTGTGATGTGTGTGTCAGTGATATATGTGTGTGTGTGTGTGATATGTGTGTCAGTGATGTGTGTGATATGTGTGTCAGTGTGTGTGTGTGTGTGTGTGTGTGTGTGTGTGTGTGATATATGTGTGTGATATGTGTGTCAGTGATATATGTGTGTGTGTGTCAGTGATATGTGTGTGTGTGTGTCAGTGATATGTGTGTGTGTGTGATATGTGTGTGTGTGTGATATATGTGTGTGTGTGTTGGACTAGAACAGGCCCAACAGGGTCAGGTCCTCATGTGTCCAGTTGTCCCTGTTTCCCTGACACAGGACAGTCCCCGTCCTGTGTCTCTGTCCCACAGATTTATACAAAAACACTGATTTGTCCCAATTTATACAAGAAATGTCCCAGTGTCTCTGTTTTACTACACCAGGTCTAAACCAGGACTACACCAGGTCTACACCAGGTCTACACCAGGACTACACCAGGACTACACCAGGACTACACCAGGTCTACACCAGGTCTACACCAGGTCTACACCAGGTCTACCAGAGTGTTGGACTAATCTGATCCTGACAACATTAACAGGAGCAGAAATTGTCTTTTGTTTTGCCAAAATCCACAAATCTGTTTGTGAATAAATAAAAAAAACAGTGAGAGAGAAAGTGGTGAGATCAGGACGAACACGAGACGCACAAAGTTCCACGATCACATCTCCATTTCATTTATAAAACATCCAAACAAACAGAACAGGAAACATGAACATGACGACGCGGAAAACAAAACGGGATTTAAATGGGACTTTGTCCACGTGTGTACGTCACAAAGAGCCGCAGCGCGAGGAGCCGCAGCCGCATCACGAGGAGCTGCAGCATGAGGAGCCGCAGCATGAAGAGCCGCAGCCTGAGGAGTCGCATCACGAGGGTGGAGCCGGAGCCGCAGCATCACCGGCTCCATGAGTCCGCACAAACCCCACTCCACTCGCCTCAGATTAAACTCATGTTTCAGATTTTTTCAGATTCTGTTTCTGTTTAAACGCGGGCAAAAACTTAAATCCGTGAGTTTAGAAACATCCAAGAGTTTAAACGAAACAAAAACACAAAACACAAAGACACACGGGGCTAACGATGCTAACGATGCTACCGCTAACACGCAGAGGTTCAGTTTGGAGACACTTTTGTGAATCTTTCACCAGAAACACGAAGATTTTTATTAAAACACAAATCACGTTTTTCTTTTTGTGGATCAAAGCCGGAGTGTGGCATTAGCATTAGCATTAGCATTAGCATTAGCTCCGACACGCCTCTCGCAGCCGTTAGCCGTTAGCCGCGGGTCCATTGAAATGAACGGGGGGGATGCTAACAGCTAACAGATTAGCATTAGCTGCGGCAGTAGGAGCCACATGTTCCGGGAGCCGTGAGCCGCTCCCCGCGGTCTGAGGCTCCAAAACCCCGCGGGACACGGGCCGGAGCCGCGGGGCCGGTTCTGCTGCAGTTAAACAGTGAAATAACGCGTTTGTAAAGAAAATGAGGAGAGTTTTTACTCACTGAGAACTAAAACCTGCTGCCCGAACATCTTCACACGGACCCGTCTGGAAGCTTCGACAGGAAGGGGAGCGCCGCCGACCAATCACAGGCGAGAACAGAACCAAAGAGGCGGGGCGACGAGGACCTGTCAGCGCCGCGGCCAATCAGAGGCAGGAGAGGGATGACTGACACAGAAACCAACCAATCAGAGAGCAGAGCGAGAAAGGATGGCGATGCTGAATAAGATTAGCCTTTTATGGAAAATCCGAAAGATAAAAAATGATTAAAACAAAAATCATCATTTTATAAAAAATAATCAGAAATTAATAAAGAACACACACACACAAACACACACACACACACACACACACACACACACACACACACACACACACACACACACACACACACAAACACACACAGACACAAACACAGACACACACACTGCAGTTGTGTTTTGTTTCATTCATGTTTCACACACAAACGAGTTCTTCTCTCAAACTGAAAACACTCTGTTCCACCTTGTGATGTCATCGTGTGCTGATACAGGAAGTGCTCCACTGTGTTTTTAAACTCCACACTTCACTAGAGTCACCTGGAACATTTCAGTCCAGCTGTGTGTGTGACCAGGAACATGAGAACATGAGAACATTAGAACATGAGAACATTAGAACATGAGAACGTGGATTAAAGCTCAGAGTTCTGCCTCATATTGAACCTGTAATTAAAGTCTGACTATTCTAAATATAAAGATAAATGTAAATATAAATATAAATATAAAATTAATCTTGAGAAAACAGTTTTTATTAGAGTCAAGTTTATTAAAGACATTGTCGGTATAAATAATAAATTATCCAAATAAATAAATAAAAGAACAGAGTCAGATTCGTCACATAAAACAAACGGTGGAGAAAAAGTCTGTAAACACGTGACTCCAGGTTAAATCAGTGCAGCGTTTCAGTGTAAACGTTTCAGTCACAAACACAGTTCAACAAACAAACAACAGAACGAAAAATGAAACGACAGAAACGAGAGAAACAGAAACGAGAGAAACAGAAAGGAGAGAAACGAGAGAAACAGAAACGAGAGAAACAGAAAGGAGAGAAACGAGAGAAACAGAAACGAGAGAAACAGAAAGGAGAGGAAGTCGCCGCCGCCGTCGTGTTTCCCTCAAATATTTAACTCAGAAGAAACAAAAAGTCAAAGTCCAAACTCAACATCTGATTCTCACTGAACAAACGAGCGGCTGCAGGTCACAGGTCACCTATGTCCTCGTTTCCTTTCCTCGTTTCCTACGCCGCCTCCTCGATCAAACTGTGGAGGAATCGAGGAGATGAGAAACAGGAATTGGACTCTGTTCCTTTAGAGAGTTCAGCCTCATCTCCTTTCCTTGTTTCCTCCTCTCCTTTACTTGTCTCCTCGCCTCCTCTACTTGTCTCCTCTTCTTGCTTCCTTGTCCTTTTCCTTGTCTCCTCTCCTTGTTGAGTCATTTCCTCTCCTTTCTCCTTGTTGTCTCCTCTCCTTGTTCCTCATCTCCTCTCCTTGTGCCTCTCCTTGGCTCCTTGTGTCCTCCTGGGCTCCTTCTCTGTCTCCTCGTCTCCTCTCTCCTCGTCTCCTTCTTTGTCTCCTGGTCTCCTTCTTTGTCTCCTTGTCTCCTCATCTGCTCGTCTCCTGGTCTCCTTCTTTGTCTCCTGGTCTCCTTCTTTGTCTCCTACAGTTCGTTCCTTGGTCCTTTTGTCCTCAGACTGTGTGAAGTTTCTCTTTGGACAAACTTAAGCAAATCCTTCACTTCTCGAGGTCCCTGAAAAACACAAACAACAAAAACACAAACAACAATACGACACTTTAAATCCTCTTCAAACTGAACTCCACACACACAAACAAACACACACACAAACAAACACACACACACACACACACACACACACACACACACACAACACACACACACAAACAAACACACACACAAACACACACACACACACACACACAAACACAAACACACACACACAAACACACACAACACACACACACAACACAC